GGTAATCTTAATTCTACATTTCTTTTAACAATAGCCCAAAGATTTTCAATAGGATTTAAGTCTGGACTATTAGAAGGTCAATCTATAATTTTAGAAAAATTTTCATTAACAAATGTTTTAGCAATTTTACTTGTATGTTTTGATTATTATCATGTTGAAAATAAAAATTATTTTCAAGCAATTCAATAATTTCTAATTTATGGTTTTGCAAAATATATATATATAATTTTACATTTATAATTTCTTTAAAACAAAAAAGAAAAGTTTTTTCTTTTATACAAAATCCTCTCAGGCAAAAATTTTGGCTTGATCTTTAGATATTCTTCTAACTGGTCTTGTATTTTTTATACTATTGAGTAATTGTATTTCTGAATAGTTGAAATACTATTTCATCAGAAAATAAAGTCTTTTTCCAATTATAATTAAGATATTTCTTTGCTCAAATAACATGAGCTTCTTTATGAGCAGTAGTAAGTATAGAAGTTTCCAAAAGTAGATTATTTTTATAATTCAAGCTTGTTAGATGTCATGAAATTGTCATATGAGATATTTTAGTATCCATATTTAACAATTTAATTGCCAAAGTTCTTGTAGAAAGTCTTGGATTATAGTATAAGTATTGATCAATTGCTTTTGATTTATGTGCAGTAATCTTTTTAGGTTGACCTCCACCAGATTTTCTTGAATTATTTTCTTTGAAATTTAATTTTTTAAGATTGTAATAAATAGTTGATATGATTATATCAGTTTTAGAATATATTTCATTTGTAAAAGTAATTCCATTCTTCCACAAATATAATATAGTTTGATGTTGTGTATGTTTTTCAAAAAATAATATTGTAAGGATAAGTTTATAAAAAAAATAAAACAAGTTGAGAAATTTAATAGTATATATATATTTGTTAAGATATGTTGTTTACATGTTTAAAATTTCATGTGAATTGTTATTGTTTTGAAAAAGTTATTTATATTTATGTCACATAAATAAAATTCTAAAAAGTTTTGTTATATACTATATATAGTATTAGATATTATATTAATTTTATTTATTTGTTTGTACTTGAAATGATTTGTGAAGCATTAACTATTGTATTATAGACTTACAAATATTGATATATTGATATTATTTTAAATTTTATTTATAATATTAATTAGATATAGATTGTATAAACAAATTAATATTTAATTTATTGTTAATATACAGTATGTAAAAAATATTGTTTTTTTCTTAATATACATGTATATTTTCTTATATATAAATTAAAAATTAATATTTAATTATAAAAAAAAAATCCAAAAAATAAAACAAGATTTTTTTTATTGTTGTTTTTTTTATTTTTCTAAAATTTTTAATATAATTATAAGTTTTTATTTAAAATTTTTTAAATAAAAATATAGTCATATAATATTATTTAATTATATACTGTATATTGTTTTAAAAAATTTTTTAATATGTATTAAATAATTATAATAAGTAGATTAATATTTTATATTACATATTTCAATAAATATTTTTATAATTATTCTATAAATAAAAAAAAATAATTAAATTAAATAAAAATGTAATATCAAAAACATGTGAATAATAAATATAAAATAATTTCCAAATATTTCCAAGATTTTTTATTTTTAAATTTCTTTTGTGGGATATAATAAAGATGAAATGATTATTTTTATTTTGAATAATTCGTAAAGATCATTTTGTTTATTTAAAATCAACAAAACCATATTGTTAAAAATATACAGTCTATAATAATGAAAATAGATATTAATCATTATTATAATTATAAAAGAAAATAAAGTTAAAGACTAAAAAAACTAAAAGCAATTAAAAAAACGATATAAAAACGATACAAAAATCAAATAGCATTTAGAAAAAAAAATCTTTTATATTAATAAGAAAAATTAATTATAACATTGATTACAATCAATTTTGATATTGTATTTAAAAATCATTAAAGTGTAAAAAAAAAATACTTTAAAACAATACCAATATTTTTTCTTATTTTAAAATAAAATTTTTTCTTGTAAGAAAGAATAATTAATTTTATTATATTTTCAAAAAACAATAATTTTCAAAGTTTATGTTGTTTTATTAAAAGATATAAAACAGATATGAAGAATTTAATTTAAAAATTTGATAGTTTTAATAAAACAAGGACACGTAATATAGAAACAATTTGACAAACTCTTATCTAAAAATAAATATTCGTGAAACCATTACAATAATCGACTAACCAATGGTCTGAATTTCAAATGCAATAATATATATATATAATATAGTAGAATAAAGTGTCGAAGAAAGAACGTTGTAAAATTTAATTAAATTATTGCATAAATGTTTTAAGGAAAGAAGAAATGGGGGCGAACAAACGATACGTAATAACAGGAATTTTTATTGATTATTAAAATATCTACCGATGTAGTTCTTACCTCAAAATACAGTAAATGATCATTGAGAGTAATTGGTTTGGTAATTACGAAGTGATTGATAAATAATTGAAATTTCTGAACCGCACCGTATCTATACTGTATATACTCGATAAAATTTATCATACAAATATACTGTATATTTAACGAATCGTAATTTTATCATAAATATGAAAGGCATTTGATTATCAATTTTACTTTATTATACCGTATATGAGTATACACACAATCATCTACGGTATATGATTTTTCAGGAAACCTTTTAAATTGACAGGATAGATATAATATATTTAGTTTATTATTTAATGAATTCAATAATAAAATTATTGTCGGTGATTGTTTTAAGATAATTTTTTCAGAAATCCACATCATACGTACACGAATATGCGATCCGAATCACGTGAAATAGCATCACGGGATCATATTGACTTGTCAATGTGATCCCAACAAGAAATAAAAAAATTTTCAGGAGACAAATGAATGAAGTCTTTTCTTCTTTGAATCTAATGAATCGCGAAATCCGTAAAAGTGGTGTGATGCATGTCGATTGCATAAGAACCCGCCCAATGATTTTGTTGAAACCCTACGTTTTTTAAACAAACTCATCTGGAAATGGTTAAGGGAAACACTAACGCATAGCTGTGAAAGAGACGGGCTTTATTTACACATACATTAACTACGGACGAACCCCACTGCTGTAAACAAATAACGTTATCGAGGACACCAATTTTAGCACAATTTGTTATAATCAATTGTATTTCTTTGTACAAACCACTTTACGTTTATCCGAGTGTCGTGTAAAGGAGATATCAGAATTGGCTTCGAATGAATGGTGGCAAACCACATTATGTATTGGTTACGAAAGATGATATCTGCTGTATCATGATTAAGAAACAATACACGTATGTTCAACCATTCTAGTGATAGTTGAGGGTGAACACTGCGCAATTAATTTGCCTTTGTGTCAGCATCGTCACAATAACGGTGAAACCATGAATGAGGCTTTTCTTTTAAAAGTGGATGCACGCTAAATTTTGGATCCGTTGGCTTTTTTTCTTGCATCCCAAAATTTGTGCGACCTTTTTTATTAATAAAAATTGTATAAGCATATACACCACCATATATAGATAAGATGGTCATAACTGATTGGCATATGAAGGTAGAAGAAAAAAAAAGCTCCGCACTTTTTCTACTTTGAGTTGGTGTCGACATTATCACATTGTCACCAAATGTTTGGCTAAGCCAACAAGTCGAGGAACCTTGCGGTATCACGCACGTTTGCTATATCAAAATTTTATGTCCCTTCAGATCGCGAAAATAACTCGAAACAAAGTTTGAGCGATGTGAGAAGCCAATAATTTCGATTATGCAATTCATAGCCGAAAAGAAAGCCGAGGGGAATAGGAGAACTCATCTCCTTTACAAAGGTGAGTAAACAAAGTAAGGTTATGCAACATACAAACAAACAGTTAATTTGTTACACGTTATGCATTGTGTAAGTGAATTTCACTTACAATTTACATTGAAACTTCATCTCCAAGAAAAATTCAATGAATTCGAGAAAAGGTCAACAACAAATAACGACCACAAGTCACACAAGAATGGAGTCATGGCGTATGCGTGTCCCCGAAAGTCAAGGTTCCGTTCATGATCCCGTATGTTTTTACTTGACACCTATTTTTATCACTTTTAACGGTCAAAAAGGAAAATTTGATTAAAGTTCCAAAAAAGAAATTAAAAAGGAGGAATCGGTCATCCTCTCTGGAATCGGGAGCTTCCTTGACTCGCCCAGTAAAATCAAACAAGAGAGATCTATCGCAATGTCATACATGGCTTTATTGGGATGCTGTCTTGTTAGACCAGATGAACTCGATATACTGTATATTCACGTATGTATATCTCTTTCACGCTGTTGTCCTTAAGACTTATGCGTGGGCTCGAAATTTGCCAAGTGGTATTAATTCTAGTTGTTCTTTTTGAGTTCACCAGGTTTCAATCATTGTGCATCGGAATCACGCATTCATGTTTAACTTTAGATCATGGTGTGTAAATACTTTATTTAAATAAAAAAATGTTTAAAAAATCTTTTTTTTTTTTTTCCTTTTTTTTTCTATTGAGTTTATATAACCATGTGTAATTTCCGCCAAAAAGCTTATGAAATTCATATATACGCATGTAGTTACCATAAAAAAAAAGTCATCGGAAAAAATGAAGGGTTATTGACGGAAACCGAAAAAAATCCTAATATCAAGGAACGTAATGTAATCGAAGATGGTACCACGGTACATGTTATCATAAGCTTAGGGTGGCATCCATGGTATTCTGAATGAAAGAATGTAGGTTCGAGGCTATATTTAAAAGAATGTTTGATGGTAGTCACAATAAACGCAGTTCCAACATTTTGTTTAGATCGAACACACACAAATGCATGAAAATGAATATGTTACAGTTATATATTATATTGACAAGAATCCCTCTGATTTCTATATAGTATCACCCCTACTTCTATTATTAAAAATTACGGAATTCAATACTTTGATAAGGTTGTGGAGTGAATATGTTTATCCACTCGTCAGGGTAGGTGTACACTTCGTACGGTGCTTCTGCGAAACCGTAGCTTCCGGATGGGTAGGGGGCATCGAATAGATAGTGATATTGAGAAACCTCGAACATTTCATTTTCCAAGCCTGCACTTGAATCAGTGTTTTCGTCTGATGAAGATGATATTGATTGGGTTTCGAGGGTTTCGAGGGTTTCGGGCGTTTTGGGGCCGAAATCTTCTCCAGGGATTACAGGAGAACATTCGGACTCGGACGGGAGGTAATCCGAAGGGCTCGAGTTTAGGTAATTCGTTGTACTGAACGACGAGATATTGTCGCTCATTTTATTATTGTCAGGAAAGACGTGCATCTTAAAAGTCTTTCTTTTTTTGGGACGAAATTTATATCCCGGATACAGTTCATTGTGAATGCACTGAACTTGATGTTGAAGAACTTCATAACGATCTTTGACCTCTTGCGGACACTCTTTCCAGACGCGCCTGGATTGGATGCATAGCTCGGGCATTGTATATTTGAGCCCGAGGGAACGAACCTCAAGCATATAGCAATTCTTGAGCAAAAAGTAGGAATTCGGCGGCCTGGGAGGATTTCCCGCCGGACGAGGTTTACGCCTGGTGGACATCAATTGAAGCACCGGGTACCTCGGGTTGTATACTCGGTCCAAGTCGAGATCAGATGGAATATCCACTCTCAGGCGCTTTTGTTGAGATTTTTTGTTTTCGTTAGACATCTTTTGATGAGTCACGTGTCGAGGAGAAGTGGTGAAGAATGTTGGAAATTGCTAAGGAAACCTTGGTATTTATAAAGAAGGGGTGATTGGATTTCCTCGCGTTTATCGGAATATGGGTTTTGGATACGAAGAATAATTTTTGTTACAAAGAAGGTATATACAGAATGAAAAAAAAACGGATGTATTTATAGGTATAAGTTATTAACGATTATTTATATCACACATTGTAATTCAAAAAAAAAAAAAAAGTGATACTGTACAACCCATTTCCCTTTTTTATCATCATTCTTTTTATCATAGTGTTACGTTGTTACGTTCCAATTTTCATGTCTTTGTCAGTCAAAAGAAGAGTCTTTAATTAATCTATCACCTTCCTGAAATTACAGTCTGCTGTACGCAACGTTTTAATATCCTTTTCCTGGCAATGACGGACAGTTCCTCAAACACTCAAACAATCCTTGGTTCATGTGAGATATTGTATTAACATCAGCCTATTGTTTCTTAAATTTCGAGTTCAGGTAAAATGTGCATTTTCAATAACGCATTAGTGTTTGCGGGATAAATACCAGATAAGTGCACCAGCGAATAGTGCTGGTGATCGGAACAACTTTCGAGAGTGCGGTAAAATTGCAAGGTCTCATTGTCATAAACATGATTTTCCCTTAAAGGACATTACGTAAGTTTCATAATTACCTCCGTGCACAGACATCATTTAAAATCTATTTATAACTTCCAGTATTTCATGATTTAAAAATGAAGAACATTCTGCGCATAATCGCTGGAGTTGGTCGATCGCTTAGAAGACGCGGAATCTGTTTTCCATAATGTGAACATGTGGACCGGATTCTTATCGCGTGCTGACATGTTCGAATTCTTCTATTTTCTGCGTGTACTACAATAACGACAGAGGTTCATTATTACTTACAATTAGGGAACTCGATATGCAAAGTAAATCTGTACTCTTATGTTCTCATTTTATAAATAGAAATTTAGATTCAAAGCGGACCTTCTAGTGTAAAAAAGATAAATGCTGACATTATGAATGTTATTATGATTTTCCAATGCATTCCGAAACGCTACCCAGGTACCTTTTAGGGAAAATTTTTCTAGGAAAGAAAATTTTCTCAAACTTGTGCTTCTAAATGATGGTCAATCAATGATGATAGGTCAATGTAATATGACGATCTATTAGTAATTTCTATATTTCTTTTCCATTTATTGTCCATCACATTCACTCCACCCTCTAATACTCACTCAATCAACTATCATTAAAATTATCACGAGATTTTGTAAAATTTCTCTTCTCACTTCCTTTTTCGCATTGCAGCTTTTTTCAAATGAAATCCCTCAAAAAGCAAGTTGTGAATCCTGCCCATTATTTACGGTCCAAGGCGTTTCTTCCAAAAATATTTGCATGTAACCAAAAAAATAACTTGGGGGCGTAAATAGAAAAATAGGACCAGAAATGCAACGTCTCTTTCAACGGACCCCAATTTCTCTGGAATCTATTTTAATGTGCAGTCGTCTGCCTTGGTTTCCGATTGGCAAAGAAAAGATTTTGTGCGATATTTTCAAATGCTTTATTGTTTGACTCGTGGAATCTTATGGAATCTTGTCGGATACGTGGCAAAAATCCTAGAATTGTCCAAATTGAAATTCAACTTAATTATCAAAGTGGACCTATTGATGTAGATTATGCGAGGGCGCAACGATGAAAAATCTGCTCATGATAAGACGCGTATGCAATAACAATGTTTTGCATTAATTATTATGGAGAAAACAGGAAATGAAGGTCCGCCGAGGATTCTATTTTGAGTTAAACCAAGTCAATTCACAACGAATCAGAGATCCGGCAAGTTGAAAGGTTCACACGAGATTATCAGTTATTATCTGTGAAACTCTTGAATTTTCAATACAACGGCACGCACTTGTTCTCTGATAAAAAAAAATTTTTTTCCTCCATTTATGGATGAAAGTAGGGGCTCCGTTTCACCGTGTGAAATTATGAAATTGCAAATAAGATAGATTAAAAATCCACATACTTTCATCAATTCGATTCTACTCATTCACCAATCAATTAATTTAACATTTATCCATATTGTAATAGATCAATTTAGATAAGAAGGTTGATTTTAATTGGCCGAAGAGAAATGCATTTCTCTAAAAAAGGTTTTCAAGAAATAAGGACGATGGTTTTTCCGTCGGTCTTTTTGTTCTCGTGCTTTAACAAACTTTCGAGGTCAGTTGGAATTGGTTAGATATTGGTGTATCACTCACTGTCTTAGGGGGATATGCAAAACGTGGAGAGACCATGGCAAATTGTATTGAAATTCATTCTCCCTATCAAGAATTTTTGCGAGTAAACATATGAATTTGGTTTTTTCATTGCTCATCAGTATAGAATTATCATTTCTTGTCACGTATCAACGTGAAGGGATTTCTCGGTATTGCCACTTTTGTCTATAATCCTCACTGGCGTGTAAAATTTCCGCTATCTGCTACCTTTTAATTAACGCAAAATCATATATTCGATTGTTCATTGCACATTCACACGTGCAGCTCATGTTTCGCGAATTTGCAGATACATTTAAGGGACACGTCTCCTTTTCTCGAAAATAATAAGCTTTGCCCCGGATAATCTAAACGCGTTTTTCCCTCTCTCGGGTGCGACATTGATTTTTAATTTAGTAATTTTTTATCTCATGGATCGTCATATACAAACGTTGATCGATTCTATTTAGGAACATATGATCTCACGGATTTTTTATTCTTACAAATCAGGAAGTGATTTTCTCGAAGTATGATATTAAAAAGGTAATTAATCCGTAATAATTGAAGGGATGTTTTGGCGGGACCATCTTATCGACTCATTCATCTGCGTTTATCTAATCAAGGGATTAGTGGATCAACTAAACCTTCAAATCCTGATAATTACCCGGTATCGCCGATTCGATGCCTGCGCGTCTCTTCTCATTCATGTACTGGATTTACTGTGATAACTCATTCCTACCCAATTGGCCTTACTCACCTTCAATATGTGACAATTATTGACATCTTCTACAAGAGGGAACTACTGTTGGAGCTAAATTGCTCGTGATGTATCATTTTTATGTAATTATTTATTGGATATGGTATCCCTCTTTCAAATGCGGTATGAAGTAACTGTCGATTAACAAAAGATCTACCGTACATTTATAACAATTGCTCTTCAATTGTAGTCCAGATCCAATAGAATTCAAAAACTTTATTAACAAAACCAAATTAATTGATGTCAGATAGTTAGAAGAGCCTTGTGTAGTGTCAGCATATCTCAAACTCATCCTGCTGCAGAATTTTCTTTTTAAGCAAAAAAGAGAAACAAAGGATAAAGAATGTTTAAAAAAAGTTTTCTGATAAAGTAGGAATAAATAAAAAAGAGTTTCTGTTTTTTAAAAAATTTTTTCTGTCTTTTTTTAAAAATGTTTTAGAATTTTTTTTGAAATATTAAATCCTGTAGTATTCTTATAAATTATTTAATAAAATTATTATTGTCATATATATTTTTCTATATTTATAAATCATAACATTACTTAGAAAAACTTACTACTTCAAATTTCTATCCAATAACTTTTTCTTCATTAGAACAAACTTTTTTTTCTTCCCTTCTGAAGTCTCACTTGAAACAAATATTCTTTTTCCAATAACAAATTCCAATAATATCTCTATTCTTTTTAAAACACTGCCAAAAAATCTATCTTTACCAGTTCTCTTTTCAAAAAGTAAATCAATCTTTTTCCATGTCAAATCTCAATTCCAACTCAAAATCAAACTGATAACACAAACAACAATGAACAATTTACTTTTCCAAACAAACCCTCACTCCTAACTAACTATTAAAATAATAATTCAATAAACCCTTAATCACAAAAATTCTAAGACATTATTTATCAAAATTATAGATCTTATCAAAAAAGAAATAATTATAGACCTACAACTTATTAATTAAACAATTACAAATCACTACAAAAAAGTCTTTTACAAAAAAACAATCAACAATAAATTTTTATTCAAATAGAACAAATACTATACTCCTATATATAATATTAATTTAAAAATATATAATACTTTAATAAATCTAATTATTGAATATAAAATAGCTGAAACAATAAACTTTTTTTCAAATAACAAAGCTTCTAAACCATCTAAAATCACATATAACTTCATAAAACAAACACAAAAAAACTATCTTACTTATTTAAAAACAATCTTTAATCAAATTCTTATCTCTTAAAAAATTCTAACAAAGTAAAAAAACTATTGTATCTATTTTATCAGCAAAAAACTTCAATAGAAATTTAATATCTAAGAAATCCATCCTATAACTCTTATCAATTCCTTCAAAAAAATACTAACAAAAATATTAACAAAAAGGCTTGACTTTATACTATTCAAAAACAATATACTACAAAAATCTAATTATACAGATCTTTCAAATCAAAATATATTTAAATCAATACAAATACTCAAATCATTTTACAATATCAAAAAACTTACATAATAAGAATTTTGAATTCTTTTACTAGATATAGGTATAGCATTCAACTCTGTCAATCTCAATATGCTCAAAAAACCCATACACAAACTTTATATTCCTAATACATTTATTATCCTATCCAGTAATATACTCACAAATTGCACTTGTTAAATAATTACAGACCATGGTCTTATACAATATATTATTATTTCAGATAAAATTAATCAAAAAAAAACTCTTTTACTATTTTGATGAATCATTTCTTATAATTTTCTAATAACAGCACTAACACAATAACTATTACAACTCAAACACAATACTATTGCATATATGGATAATCTCAATCTATTCACAATATTCAAAGAAGAATTACAAAACAATCTCAATATAGCAATTGAATTTTTTCATATTAATGATACTAATCTTATCAAAATTAAAATAATTACAATAAAAAAAAAAAAAAAAAAAACTCTTTCCCACTCCCCTT